CAATAGCCAAATTATGGAAGCAGCCCAAGTGTCTATTGATAGATATATGGATAAAAAAGATTGGCATATAAGCACAGTATGTTGGAATGTTATTCAGCTATAAAAGAGAAGGGAAATCTTGCCATTTGCAACAGCGTGGATGGATCCAGAGCTTAATGGTAAGCAAAATAAGAGGAAAGACAAATGCCATATGATTTCACTCATGTGGTATTAAAGAAACAATATAAAGAGCAAAGGATAAAAAGACAAACTAAGAAAACAGATTGTTAAAGAGAACAAATTGATGGTTACCAGAGGAAAAGTGGGTGGGGGATGGGTGAAATATGTGATCGGCATTAAAGAGTACACTTACATGATGAGCCTTAATACATTACTGATTAATGTAAAGAATTGTTGAATCATTATATTGTATACCTGAAACTAAAAGAACACTGTGTTAACTATATTGGAATTAAAATTGAAACTTAAAAAAGTTAGGGGGCCAAGAATAGCTGGTCACTTCTTAAAAAGAACAGGGAAGAGAAAACTTGCTTTGCTGGTTAGTAAGACTCATAAGATAGGAATGAAGACTTTTAAATTGAATAAACATAGAAAGATCAATGGGAATGTGAAGGGGGCGAGATCAGTGGAATAGAACAGGGAACTCATAAACACTCATGTATTTAAGGAAAATTTGATACACAACAGAGATGGCTGGCAATCAGGAAAGAGGCATGTTCAATAAATTGAGCTGGAAAAAAATGGCTCCCTATAGGGAAGAAGAGTAAAATAGATTTCTAAAAAGAAAAAAGTCCACTCCAGATGGATTAAGAATTTAAATGTCGGGCAGCCCCGGTTGCGCAGCGGTTTAGCGCCGCCTGCAGCCCAGTGATCAAGTCCCATGTTGGGCTCCATCACTGGAGTCCCGTGATCAAGTCCCATGTCGGGCTCCTTGCATGGAGCCTGCTTCTCCCTCTGCCTGTGTTTCTTTCTTTTTTTTTTTTTTTTCCTGCCTGTGTTTCTGCCTCTCTCTCTGTGTCTCTCATGAATAAATAAATAAAATCTTAAAAAAAAAAGAATTTAAATGTCATTTTAAAAATGTCATCCTTTTACCATACACACTCACAAATTTTAGTATGTGAGGTGAATATGAGACCTTGAGGAATGAAAGATTGCTTAAATCAGAGAGGTCATTGGCTGAAAAAGAGATGATAAATATAAATTTGATTTTATTAAGTTTTCATAAAAGTATCTTCTAGGAAATGGAAAAAATGTTACAAGTTAGAAGACAATATTTGCAGGACACCCAATTTACATAGAGGTAATATTAAAAAATATAAAGAACTATTATGAATTAATGAATATAACAAAATCCATTAGAAAAATGTCCAGAAGACATGAGCTGGTATTTCATAGAAGAGGAAACACAAGGCTGATGAGCATATGAAGAGATTTAGCATCATTGTCATTAGTGAACAGAGAAAAAGTCAATTCCTATTTGGCAAAAATTGAAAAAGTATTAGAGGAAATAAATTCATAGAATATTTTATACATTCCTGATGGGACTGTGGATTGGTACAAACACTTTGAAAATAGTTTGGTGTCAGTTCCTAAAGTTGAGTATTCATACGTGCTATGATCTAGCAATTTCTCTTGTAGATATATTCGAGACACTTTTTTTTGCACATGTACAAGAATATTATTAGTAGCATTGTTCATAATAGTGAAAACCTAGAAACAACCCAAATGTTCATCACACTGGAATATTATATAGCAGTCAAAATAAATGAAAAATAAAGTATGAATCTTAAAAACATGCTAAGTGAAATAAGCCAGACACAAAAGGACAAATACTGTGATTTCACTTAGATGAGGTGTCTAGAATTGGCATATTCTTAAAGGTAGAAAGGATTGTGGTTATCACAGCCTGGGGAGAGGAGGTCATCATGAGAGTTTGCTGTTTAATGGGTGCAGAATTTCAATTTAGTTGATTAAAAAGTTCTGGAGATGGATAGTGTTGATGGAGTACAGTACTGTGAATGTACTTAATGTCACTGAATTGTACATTTAGAAATGGTAGATTTTACGTTATATTTAGCTTACAATAAATTTTAACTAACGTGACACAAGTAGGAATTTTAGTGAAATAAAAATCTAAAATTACTCTACCTGCTTTTTTTTTTTCCTAAGTTAAAAGCGACTGAACTAAAAATATTTACTCCTGAGCATTCCATTTTGATGCAGTAAAATGCATAAAGAGGAAGGGAAGAAAATCAAAACAGGATTCGGGATGATTGTTGGGGAGAGATAGGGGTATTACAGTTAAATATAGGTTGTTGTCAAGCGTACTGCTTTGTGGATACTTATTGCATTAGGAAGAATCAAGGAAAAATGGGCCATGTGTGGGTAAACAAAGTATGTTGAAGGAAAGGATTATGAGTAATTCTGTACATTGAGGTCTAATGGGCAAAAAATATTACTAAGTGGAGATTTCAGAACTCTTGAGTTTGAAATCTTGACTCTAGCAGTTCATAGAATTCTATTATCTTGGGCAGATAACATCTCTGCTTCTCTTGCCTTAGATGTAAAAGAAAGCTGATAACATTACCAATGTCATCGGTTTATTTAAGTGTTAAATGGGTTAATCTCTGTGCCTGTACAGAGTAAGCTCTATGAAAGTCTGTGCCATTTGTTTTGGTTATCTAATGCGATGTAGTAAACCACCTCAACAACTTAGTGAGTTAAAACAGTGGCCATTTTATTTATTTCTTATGATTCTGTGGGCTGAGTTGGATGGTTCTTGTCTGGCATGTAGCTGTAGTCAGGTGTCAGCTGCTTTTGGAATGTCCTGTAATATGTGGTGCTTTGGAGGGAATGGCTGGAAGAAGGCTGGGCTCAACTGAACCTTTTCTCCACATGGCCCTTTTATGGGATCTCCAGTAGAGTAGTCAGATTTTAGGGGCCTCAAAAAGCACAAAAAATGAAACTGCCAGGCTTGGAATTGACGCATTATCACTTCCACTGTATTCTACTAATGAATGTTGCAGAGCCACTTGGAAGATGTGGTTCAATGGGGACCATTTTTGGAAACCATCCACACTGCTTATTTTTATTTTTAAGTAAGTGTAGATCTAATGTGGGGCTTGAACTTACAACCCTGCTCCACAGACTGAGCCAGCCAGGTACCCCTCCCCCCCAATCCACACTGTTAGTGATATTTATATCTATCGTGTTTCTCTACAGTGTGTAATAATTGTCAATTTAGGCAGCAGGTATTTATTAACAAATAAATACAAATCCCTGCTACTTACTGCTTATGTTTTACATGATAAATAAAATGTATAGTGTGTTGGTTGGTAACGAGGATAGTAAAGAAAACTAAGGCAGAGAAGGAGATAGGGAATACTGGGGGTTGGGAGTTGCAGTTTTAAAAACGAGTGGTCATGGATGGCCCCCTTGGTAAACTTGACATTTGAACAGACAAAAGGGGGAGGTTAGGAGCTAGAAAGGCAAGGGTGGGAGCAAGAAGACCTTAAGTAGTGCAGTTGGGAGGTAGGTGGTTTGGATTCATGCAGTAATAATGGAAGTGGTGAGAAATGGTTAGAGTTTGGATATATTTTAAGATACAGCTTTAGAATTTATTAACTGGATGTGGAGTGTGAAAGAAAAAGAAATCAAGGATGGCTTCAAGGTCATTGACCTGATCTACTGGAAGGATGGAGTTGTCATTTGCTGAGATGGGGAAGACTGCAGGACTGGCAGGTTTGGGGAGATCAGGATTAGTGTTTTATGTATAAGGTTTGGAATGCTAATTAAAAGCTAGCTGCTTTAAAATGGTAAATTATGCTTATATCTTATTTGACTTCCCATTTTGTAGCAAGGGAAGCAGTGGGGGGGAGAGGAATTTCTATTTTGTTAGAGTTAGTAAGTACTCTCAGAAGACTGAGGAATTTTTTTAGTTTTAGCCAGTGTATTTGTCAGTTTTTCCAGGCCCCTTTCACCGTTTGCCCGATGTGTTTATTTCATAAATCTCACTGATCATTTATTACCTTTTTTGTTAGAAAAAGGCCTGAAGATAAACTTAAGCTTATTTTAAAATTTGTTTTTCCTCTTACACCTTTTTTTTTTTTAAGGAGAGATGGTAGAATGTGATTCAATTCATGCTACATCTTTCCTTGATGCTATATGTCCACTTTGTTTTATTTATTTTTTATTTTTTAAAGATTTTATTTATTCATGATAGAGAGAGAGAGAGAGAGAGAGAGAGAGAGGCAGAGACACACACAGGCAGAGGAAGAAGCAGGCTTCATGCAAAGAGTCCGATGCAGGACTTCATCTTGTGACCCTGGTATCACGACCTGAACTGAAGGCAGATGCTCAACCTCTGAGCCACCCAGGCATCCCTCCACTTTGTTTTAACCCATTTTGTAAATATTTAGTTGCTGTACTCTTTGGGGTGGGCAGGTATTAAAAGTTGCTTTAGTTGATACTGAGCATTTTGACTATCATTTTCTTGTGGTTCCTTGCCAAGACATGTTTCAACATGTTGCAAAGGTTTTTCTTGATGTGCTCACAGAATCTTAACTTTATTACTTGGTGATTCCCCCAGCTCTTACACCTGTTGTCTTCCAGGGGGTGCTCTTGAGCACTACCCAAGAGAGGAGGAGTTCCTGAAACTCTGATAATTCATTGGGTAGATAATGGTTGTAAATTTGACTTCCCCCCTAAAACAGTTTACTCATTATCATCACTGTGGAGGTTGGAGCATGCCTGAACCTGTTTCTGCTTCAGGCTTCACCTGAGGGAAGCATGGACGGTTCTTACCCTTAATTAAGCCTTTGAGTTTTTTGTAGGATCTGAACTTAGAAAGGGATCAGAAGAGTATCAAGAACTTCATATGAATATATTGCATTTGTGTAGGGCGCTCTGATACGTGTCATTTTTTCTTCTTATGCTATTTTGTACATCTTGAGAGAATTTTCTGCTTTAGAAGAGATTTCATAATGCTTTTTTCCTTTCAGATTTATCAACAGACTGCAATTTCTTCACTGCCAAAATGACATCATTTGCCACCTCTGCCCAGTGTTCAACTTCTGACAGTGCTTGCAGGATCTCCCCAGAACAAACCAATCAGGTAAATCGTTTTTAGGCGTTCCTAGTATTCTGTATTCTGACTGTAGGATTTATGTAGAGCAAAAAGGATTATTTTTTAAAATGGCATATTAGGGAAACCAGGAAAAGGTGTCAGTGCTCAAAATTTGAATTGATTATTGATTAAAGATGTAGAGTTTACAGATTGCTCAAAATATGGGACATTCTGAAAACTATTGCATTTTAGGGTATAAGTGGCTAGTGGAGAATTTGGGGCCAAATTATATGTTTGTTTTCTCTCTCATTTCGTTTTAACAAGCATGTTTTCTTTAAAAATTAATTTTGAATATAGCAAATGTATTCTTATTAAAAATTCAGTTTTATAATGTGTTTATGATGTATTTATCATAGAGACTCCTTGACCATCTATCTCTTCCCTTCTTCCCCCAAAGTCCCTTCCTCCTAAGACAACACTGTGTCTTATTCCAGATCTTTTCCTCTAACATATAAAAATACATAATTTTGTTTTGTGTTTTCATAAACATTGCACAATATTTAATATTATATACCTTAGTATATGATAAAGGTGGAATTTAGATTTGTTGGGGGAAAATGTGGCGTATATAATAGATAGTTTTGATGTAATTGTCCATCTCTGGAAGGAAACAAATGAAGTCCTCAAACTTTGTATAAAAACAAATTCCAGATAGGTGAAAATTTAAATGTAAAAAGCGAAATAATATTAGAAGAAAACTTAGGGGATGCTTATGAAAAGAGGGGCCTTAAATAAGACAAAACCAAAGAGGCTGTAAGAGGAAGAGAGACAAGTTTGACCATAAAAATTTTAAAGATTGTGTGGCTAACGACAGACACAGTAAGAGTCAAGATAACGTCAAAGTTACTATCCCTGGTGTGTTTATGCCACATTTGGCTTATCTGCTCATCTGTCGGTGCTATTTGGGTTGTTTCCATTGTTTGGCTAGTGTGAATAATGCTTCTGTGAACACTGGTGCACAAACACTTATTTGAGTCCTGCTTTCAGTTCTTTCGAGTATATAGCAAGGAGTCGAACTGCTGGGTCATTTGGTAATTCTGTCTTTAACTTTTTGGGGAACTGCCAAACTATTTTCCATAGCAGCTGAACCATTTTATCTTCCCACCAGCAGTGCACAAGGGTTCCAGTTTCTCCATATCCTTGCCAATACTTATTTTTTTCCCCTTTTTTTCTTTTTATTATGGCCATCCTAGTAGGTGTGAATGTGCTGTCTTTTGGAAATGTGATTTTTCAGGAAGGTAACAAATAGTAGTCTGATTATCTGCCAGTATATTGTGTATTAGAAGATTGTATGTTATTAGATTATAAGTATCCAACAGGGTTTGTTAAAAAAAATTTAAGGAGGTTTTCTTGTTCCTTAGGGTTTCAGAAACCAATTTAGTTGAAATGTAAATAATGGGTTTATTTTATGTTTATATCAGGTACGACCAAAACTTCCACTTTTGAAGATTTTGCAGGCAGCAGGTGCACAAGGTGAAATGTTCACTGTTAAAGAGGTAAGCCATTAAAGAGAATTCTCCATTTTAAGAACAGCTGAGAAGTAGAAGCCGATGAGAGAGAAGAAAAAAAAAAAAAAAGAAGCTAATGAATGTATGGTTCTGAAAATCAGGCCTAAGAAAGAAAATTCTACTCCTGAGGTACTAGAGAGGCAACTTTTGCTTTATTTTAAAGACCATTGAGGGCAGCCAGGGTGGCTCAGCAGTTTAGCGCCCGCCTTCAGCTCAGGGTGTGATCCTGGAGACCCGGGATCGAGTCCTGTATCAGGCTCCCTGCATGGAGCCTGCTTCTCCCTCTGCCTGTGTCTCTGCCTCTCTCTCTCTCATGAATGAATAAATAAAATCTTAAAAAAAAAAAAATAAAGACCATTGAGCTAAGTTGAACTCCATATTTCCTTTAAATTTCCTTTTGAAGTATTTGTCAGCCAAACAGAAGACTAACCATGAAATCATTGATCTCACAGTTAAAATGCAAAGCCTCTACAAGATTTAAAAAATGACACGGTCTGTGATTTATAGGATGTACTGCCAGGCAGGAATTAAATGCAGTAGTTTTTCATTATAAATATGTCAGATACTTTTCTGAGCACTGTGAGAGTTATTTTAAACACACCTTTAACTTATTTAGACCTGAAGGTTTGTTTTGTTTATTTATTTTATTTATTTATTTTTAAAAGATTTTATTTATTTATTCATTAGAGACACACACAGAGAGAGGCAGAGACACAGGCAGAGGGAGAAGGAGGCTCCATGCTGGAAACTCGATTTGGGACTCATCCCATCTCCAGGATCACGCCCTGGGCCGAAGGCGGCGCTAAACCTCTGAGCCACCCAGGCTGCCCTGTTTTGTTTTTTAATAAAAACAAGTTGAATTCCTTTAAGTAGAGAAGACTCAATATTAAAATGTTAATCTCTTTGAATTGCTTACATTTAGTTGGATAAAATCTAACCTTTCCTAATTGAAAGAAACAAAATTATCAAGCTTTTAAAAAACTTTTCTGAAAACCGTAAGCAACACTGTATTCCCGAGCCATTGTATCTCTCAAGGAAACAAATTGGAAGCATTTTAGATTTTTTAGAATAGTCATAATTTCCTTTATAGTTTTATATTAAGCACATCATTTTGAACTATATCTCTAGAATTCTTTTTAAATATTTATTTATTTTTATTTATGATAGACACACAGAGAGAGAGAGAAAGAGGCAGAGACACAGGAGGAGGGAGAAGCAGGCTCCATGCCGGGAGCCTGATGTGGGACTCGATCCTGGGACTCCAGGATCGCGCCCTGGGCCAAGGCAGGCGCCAAACCGCTGAGCCACCCAGGGATCCCCTATCTCTAGAATTCTGAAACTATTACTGAAGTATGGATTTTAAAAAAAAATATTTGAGAGAGAGAGAAAGAGTGCATGGACAAGTGTGTCAGGAGGGGTAGAGGGAGAGAATCTTCAAGCAGACTCCATGCTGAGTGAGGAGCCTGGCACGGGACTATCTCCAACGACCCATGAGATCATGACCTGAGCAGAAATGGAGAGTCAGACACCTAGAACGACTGAACTACCCAGGCACCCCAAAGTACGGATTTTTATATCAGTAAAGTTGTTATAACGAATTGTGCTATCTCCTTCAATAACATGGTAGAATTTTCCTGGGTTAAGAAGAAATTAAGTACATATTGGTCAGAATGTTTTACTGTGGAAAAAGTTGGACAGAGTTTACATGAAGCTCTCTATTATGAATTTTGACCCTACCTGGTGCATAGAGAAGAATTTTCTAATTTTTAATTTTTTTTAAATACTGGTTCTTAGTTTGTGTGCATTGGGGCAGTATGGTATAATGAGAGTGGAATTATGTACATGTTATTTTTTTTAGTTTAATATATTTACTTTTGTCTTATTATTTTAAGATTTTTATTTTGAAATAATCTCTCGCTTTGTGCAGTGGCAGTATTGTAGCCAATGAGGTTTATCCGAGGCGTGATTATTGCTAATTGAAAACTGTAAATAATCTCTACACCCAGCGTGGGGCTTGAACACACAACCCTGTGATCAAGGGTTGCACTTATGGACTGAGCCAGCCAGGAATCCCTAGTTTAATGCCTTTTATTTTTATTTGTTTGTTTATTAAGATTTATTTATTAGAGCATGCAAGTGAGCACACAGGTAGGTGAGGGAGCAGACGGAGGAGAAGAGAGTGTTAAGCAGAGTCCAATGTGGGGCTCGATTCTCACAACCCTGAGATCACAATCTGAGCTGAAACCAAGAGTTGGATGCTTAACTGACTGTGCCAGCCAGGCACTCCATGTAAGGCATTTTAAAAAAAAGATTTTATTTATTTATTAGAGCATGAGCTGGGGGAGGAGCAGAGGGAGAGGGACAAGCAGACTCCCTGCTTAGCAGGGAGCTCAACACAGGGCTCCATCCCAAGACCCTGAGATCATGACCTGAGCTGAAAGCAGATGCTTAACCGACTGAGCCACCAGGCACCCCCTATTTGTTTTTATTTTTTATTTATTTGTAAAGATTTTATTTATGTATTTATGAGAGAGAGAGAGAGAGAGAGAGAGAGAGAGAGAGAGGTAGAGACATAAGCAGAGGGAGAAACAGGCTCCTTGCAGGGAAACCTGTTGCAGGACTTGATCCCCAGACCCCAGGATCATGCTCTGAGCTGAAGGCAGGTGATCAACTGCTGAGCCATCCAGGCGTCCCCAGGCACCCCCTATTTAATACATTTCATTTTATTATTATTATTTTTAAAGGTTTTATTTATTTATTCATGAGAGGCAGAGACACAGGCAGAGGGAGAAGCAGGCTCCATGCAGGGAGCCCGACATGGGACTTGATCCCAGGTCTCCAGGATCACACCCTGGACTGAAGGTGGCACTAAACCGCTGAGGCACCCGGGCTGCCCTATTTTTATTATTTTTTAAAGATTTTATTTATTTGACAGAGCACAAGCAGCGGGAGCGGCAGGCAGAAGAAGAGGGAGAAGCAGGCTCTCTGCTGAGCAAGGAGCCTGTTGTGGTGCTCTATCCCAGGACCCTGGGATCATGACCTGAGCTGAAGGCAGACGCTTAACGGACTGAGCCACCCAGGTGCCCCTGCCTAATCAATTTTAATAGCAATCTTACAGGAGTAGCACAGAAGACGGACGACATTAAAAACATGTATTTGCATATAGGACAACTGTTAGGAAAGTATAGTGAATGAATGGATCTACTGTATGATAAATATGCTACCAATCCCATATAGTTACTGTTAGTAAGAAATTTGCTTGTTTAAAGTAAATCCAGGTGTGCCTGGGTGGCTCAGTCAGTTAAGCATCTACCTTTGGCTCAGGTCATGATCTCAGGGTCCTGGGATTGAGCTCCACGCCTGGCTCTGTGTTCCGTGGGGAGTCTCTCTCCGTCTCCCTTTGCCTGTCCTCTGCTTGTGCTCTCTTGTGTGCATTCTCGTTCTTTCTCTCTCTCAAATGAATGAATAACATCTTTAAAAAAAATCTAAAAATCCAAATTGTCCCGAAAAATATAACAGGTTTGTTTATAATTGTTATGAAGTTGAACTGCTGAAACATGTTTACTGAAACATGAATGTCTTAGGTCCCCACATTTATTTTTTTATTTTTTTAGGCCCCCACATTTATATTAAAAAATTCACACATGGGGATCCCTGGGTGGCTCAGCGGTTTGGTGCCTGCCTTTGGCCCAGGGCGCGATCCTGGAGTCCTGGGATTGAGTCCCACGTCAGGTTCCTGGCATGGAGCCTGCTTCTCCCTCTGCCTGTATCTCTGCCTCTCTCTCTCTGTCTATCGTGAATAAATAAATAAAATCTTAAAAAAAAAATTTGCACATGTAAAAATGGAAAAAATGCCAATACCTGATTTCTGTTCCCTATTTTTCCACTTGTAGTTGTATACTTAGGTACCTTTTGACCCCATGGGAAAAAAATCTAAAGTTCAGAACTGCGAAGAAAAAAAATTTTTTTTTAAAGAATGAAATGTTTTCCATCAGAGTTGATTCTTAGGCACATTCTCTGTGTGTGACATGCTAGCTGTATGTCTTTTGGTGTAATCGTCACATGTTTGGTATGGATAGCACACAGATTGGTGTCTTCAAAAAGGCCCACCAGATAGACCTCACTTGCCTCCTGCAAAGCAGCAATAGCTGCACTCTAGAAGCATAGATTTCTTTTAAAGTCCTGAGCAATTTTTTGCAGCAGATGCTAGGAAGGAAGTTTGTGAATCAGGAGTTCAGGGGACTCTTAATAATGTCCAATTTCATGGAGTGCCACAGTACCAAGGCTGTAACCATGAGGTTTCTTCACCCCGCCAGAAGAGGACATACTCTTCCAAGTTTCTTTTTGTAGTCAATTGCTTCCTCAGCGCTTACCACCAGTCAGTTTATGAGTGGTCTGCTTTGTACAAGCCATGGTATAGAGACCTTATTTACCTGCCTCCTCTCCCACTGGCGCTTGAGGAGCCTAGAGATGATGATGGTGTGGCATGGCTGCAGGCACTTAATTGCGTACCCATTTATAGATAACAGTCTCTATTGTATTAGAAGACCTTATTACTTTGAATACTTAGAGTGGATTTATTTCTTCTGAAAGTCTGACAGACATAAATTAAATCTTTCTTCTTTTCCTTCCAGTAAATACTCTTCCCCATCTTATTTCTCCCTAGATACTTGATTATCTGGGCAAAATGTTGCTTGGTATAGAGGGGAGCCTAGGAGCTTTATTGTACCAATATAATGGGAACAGTATTCGGAAAATCTGTGCAGATATCTAATAATTCCTGAGAAGTTGGGGCCTAAAGTTAAAGATAGCTGCTTTGATTTGCCTGTATTCTGTGGCAACAGAGTTTTTACTGTCATTAAGTGAACTTAAATATTAAGCAGTTTAAAAAAATCTGCATAGGGAAAACATTAGGAAAAAATAAATAATTCAAACTTTTTTTAAGATTTTATTTATTTGAGAGAGAGACAGAGATAGTGACAGAGATAGCAAGAGAGAGCACCAGCAAGGTGGAGAGGGAGAAGCAAGCCTGATCCTAGGACCCCAGGATCATGATCTGAGCTGGAGGGAGATGCTTAACCAACTGAGCCACCCAAGCATCCCTAAAACTTACGAATCATGAACTTGTCTGAGTTTCTTCCATTTTTGTGAACTCTGTGGAAAAAATCCAGATATATTAAATTTTTATTTGATAAACACTGTTTTATGTAGTTATAGTGCTGATGGCTTATTAAACATTGTAGTTCATTTGTGAAAAAGAATGAAATGAATATGCATCAAAAGTGTCTTGTAGTTAGTTGTGTGTCCCTGGATTTGGAAAATGTTTTTATGACCCAGGCACATTTAAAGTTTATTACTTCTAGTTTTAGAACAGACCTCTTTATTTGAACTGGTGAGATTTTTTAACGGGATAGTAGGTAAATTCAATACTTTTCTCACTGTCAGACCACTACGTTTCTATTCTAAAAAGTAAGAATCTCTTGATGTCTAGCATGGTAATAAGTGGATGAACCTAGTGATTGGGGACAACTGTCTTGTTGTAGGACTCCTTACACAAGCACTGACAGTCACGCTCATATATGTTTTGTCTTTCTTTAGCAAACTAACTGACCTATCTTCTCATAATAATTTTGTGATTTTTGGAGCAGCTGGACAGACCTCTCATGCTGCTTTATTGCCATGCAGGTCATGCACTATCTAGGCCAGTATATAATGGTGAAGCAGCTTTATGATCAGCAGGAACAGCATATGGTGTATTGTGGTGGAGATCTTTTGGGAGAACTGCTAGGACGTCAGAGTTTCTCCGTGAAAGATCCAAGGTAAGAAGAGTGAGGGTTTGTTTATCTTTTTGGGTGCTTATAACCACTCAATCTTTATAGGATATTAATGGTTATTTATTCCTTTAGTCCGTCAATATTTAAGGGCCTACACATGTCAGGTAGCCTGTGATTCCCTAAGACCATGTTAGTGAGCAATACTCTCAGATTCTATGGAGCTTAAAGAACAGTGAGACTGTAGATGCTTTTCTCCATCTTCATGAGATTATCACACCAGCACATGGTAAAATTATACTGTGGATGTTACAGAAAAGAGGTACATGAAGCTGTGTAGGGGGTGGGATTTAGGATCTTAGGGGTTGAGATAAGGTTCCTTTAGGAAGTGATATTTGAGCTGAGAGCTTCAGGAAAAGTGAGGAGTGAGAGGTGCTGCAGGAGAGGGTTGGAGGAGAGCTTCTGGCAGAGTAAACATTGTGTGCAAAGGCCTGAGTAGGATGAGCTTGATGTGGCTGGGTTAGAATTTTGTGCAGCAGCTGTTCTAGAGAGGAAGAGTGAGCTGATTGATGAGAGAGATGTAGCATTGCTGGTCGATGATGGGCTTCATAAGCTCTACTGTAGAGCTTCTCTGACCTGTTTGACTTTCTCCAGCTGCATAGAGTTACAGAGTTATAGAGTCAAAAGGTAATTAGTAATGAACCAATGTTTTCTTTCTCAGCTTTGTGATGACAGAGATAGCGAGAGAGAGCACCAGCAAGGTGCAAAGGGACAAGCAGGCTTGATCCTAGGACCCCAGGATTATGACCTGAGCTGGAGGGAGATGCTTAACCAACTGAGCCACCCAAGCGCCCCTAAAACTTACGAATCATGAACTTCCACCCTTTCCCCAATTAAAATTGTAAAACTTAATTCTTTGTAGGTAGGAAGGAAGGAAGGAATGCTCTCCAAAGGAAATCTTGTGTTACTGTTAGCTAATTAAATAAAATGTAAATTAATCAGTTTCTTTTTTTTTTAAAGATTTTTTATTTATCATAGAGAGAGGCAGAGACACAGGCAGAGGGAGAAGCAGGCATCATACAGAGAGCCTGACGTGGGACTCGATCCAGGGTCTCCAGGATCACGCCCTGGGCTGCAGGCGGCACTAAACTGCTGCACCACCGGGGCTGCCCTAATCAGTTTCTTAATAGGGGCAAAGTAACACAAGTGCTTGGACATTATCATCTTGACATTTAAATAATTACTAACCTATTGTGGGGAAAACATTCTCTTCTCCATGTGTTATAGAGAAAGTTAGAAGATCACGTATCTGATAGACATGTAATATTTTAATGGAAAACCATGGGGTTATTAATTTTTTTTTTTTTTTTTTTTTTGTCTCTGACAGCCCTCTCTATGATATGCTAAGAAGGAATCTTGTCACTTTAGCCACTGCTACTACAGGTATGTCACATCCTATTTCTTCAGTCTGTATCACAGCTTTGAGCTCAAAAGGGGCAAATGATGGGAAAACAAGGAGGATCAAGATGGAAATGAATTGCTATGTTGGCATGACTGGGAGGGATACTGTAATACAGAATGTTATTAGTATGTTAATTTTTCATTGTGAAAAATTTCCAATAGACTGAAAATAGATTAGTATAATACCCACCTCTTAGTAGTTAACATTTTCCTACATTTGCTTCATCTGGATATACTTTCTTTTTCCTTAATTTTACTTCTTTTTTTCATCTAGACATACCTTTAAAATCTCTAACAATTAAGGACCTTTTTCCTTTAAACGTAACTATAAATGTCATTCTTACATCCAACAAAATTAATAATAATAAGATGAATAACAACTTCATAATGCTATCCAATAGCCAGTGTATGTATAGTTACCCCCAATTATCTCAGAAGTATCTTTTTTGTTTGGCTTGTTGAAATCAAGAGCCAGACAAAGTCCACACATTGCATTTGGTTGGTATGCCTCTAAGTATCTTTATAAAACAATCCTCCTTTTATTTTTATGTCATTTATTTGTTGAAGAAATGGATCATTTGTCCTGTAGAATTTCCCACATTCTAGTTGAGGTTGCAGATTTTGTCCTTGTGATGTTAACATGTTTCTCTGTTTCTTTTATTTTTGGCAAACTAGTGTAATGCTGAATAGTTTCAAGTATAGATTTTTTGCTGAGAAGGTGTCATAGGTGGTGCTTTGTACATCTGTTGCATCTCATCTGAGTCATATAAGGTCTGCTTGTCCCTTTTTCAGCGATATTGATTCCGTGGGCTCATGGTGTTAACCCAATCCATCTGTTAGAAAGGTCCCTGAAGAACTTTCATCTAGCTAATGATTTTAGCTTTCTGTTATATGAATGCCGATTTGTCTAAAACCCTTTGTTTAATTCCATATCTTTTAAATATTGTCCTTTGAGTTTAATTTATTAGGTATGTGAGGAAACGGGCTGCTTTGGGGTCTGAAGTATGGTGTATTAGAGATCAGTGGATCAACTGGATATAACTGAAATGTAACACTATCTCTTAATCATTTCCAAATAATGAAACTTTTCCCTTCCATTCCTAAGTGAAGTGCTTTTGTGAGCTTCAAATTAGATTTTAGGTAACCTTATCCTTTGAAGAAAGCCCAAGTTTGTAATTCTTTTAGATTGGTTATCTTTCCAGTTTACTGAAACAAATAATTGAAAAGAATCCATTCTTAATAAAGGTTTATTTAACGTGAGAACAGAGAAACTGTTTTCATATTGAAACGTGATTTTTAACTTATATTGAATTTTGGAGCCTGTTGACTTCATTGAGCCATTTGCTCATTTTACCCACTTCACCCAGCTGTAAATTTCTGTTCAGATGGAAGGCCTTGCAAATAATATAGTATCTTTATTGAAATTCAGTCACTTGTAAAATAGTAGGGCTTCCCTGGGATACTCACTGCAGGCCCAAAATACACAGAGGAGTGATTGATTGATTGATTTAAAATCAGTTTGGCAACATATAGTGTAACACCCCATGCCCATCCCATCAAGTGCCCTCCTTAGTGCCTGTCACCTAGTCACCTCATTGCCCCCATCCCTCTCCCCTTCTGCAACCCTTTGCTTCCCAGAGTTAGGAGTCTTTCATGGTTTGTCTTCCTCTCTGATTTTTCTCCACTCGATTTCCCTCCTTTCCCTTATAGTTCCTTTCACTATTTCTTAAAAATATGGAATGCTTCACGAATATGCTGTCATCCTTTCACAGGGGCCATGCTAATCTTCTCTTTTATTTTATTATTTTTTAAAAGATTTTCTTTATTTATTCATGAGAGAGAGAGAGAGAGAGAGGCAGAGACATAGGCAGAGGGAGAAGCAGGCTCCCCATAGGGAGCCCGATGCAGAACTCCATCCTGAACTAAGATCATTCCCTGAGCCAAAGGTAGATGCTCAACCACTAAGCCACTCAGGCGTCCCTCGTTCCAATTTTAGTATATGTGCTGCTGAAGTGAGCACTACACAGGATTTTGTATTTGTTGATCTACTCTATTAGAATTTGTTTTCTGATCTTTTCTCTGAATATCTGGAGTGGGTGTAATTCTCACTTTTTCTTCTTGCACTACAGTATTTAACATGCCATATATATATACACATATAAAATATATATATATTTTAGATTTTATTTATTTATTGACACACAGAGAAAGGCAGAGACACAGGCAGAGGGAGAAGCAGGCTCCATGCAGGGAACCCGATGTGGGACTCGATCCCGGGTCTCTAGGATCACACCCCAGTCCGCAGGCGGCGCCAAACCGCTGCGCCACTGGGGCTGCCCTAACATGCCATATATTAAAGTGAACATTTCTATAACATTTTATTTTTAAGCTATTTATTTGAGAGAGAGCGCACACAAGAGGAGGGAAGAGTCAAAGTGTGAAGCAGACTCCGTGCAGGGCTTGATCCTTGGACTCCTGGATCATGACTTGAACCGAAGGCACATGCTTAGCTATAAGACTGAGCCTCCCAGGCACCGCTTGATAACATTTCAATTGAATTATCACAACCACCCCATGAGGAAGGTTCTAGAGATGATGAAACTGAAGGGTTTTAAAATATTGTTTTATTTGTGTTTTTGTTTTTTGCTTTTTTTAATAGAATGAGTGATTTGTCCAAGATTGGTTGCCACTTAAAATTGGTAGAACAGATATTTCTGACTGACCATTTCTTGCTCTTTTCATTGTGCCACACACTTGATATTATAACAGAATTTGCTCCAGTTAATTTTTCTTAACACAAATTTCTCTCTGAACTTTAAATCTTCAAAACATTTTATTCTTAAATTTGTCACTTTGAAATAATTTCAGTTACAAAAAAGCAGTAGACGTATTATAAGGAGTTCCAAATGGTACTTTACCCAGATTCCCCAAATGGTAACATCTTATTTAACCCTAGTACAATGCTCAAAACCAGACATTTGCCACACAGTAATTTTGATAATTGTCTGCTCTGACTTGAACTTACATTGGTGCTTGTGGTTGGTCATCTCTGTTCTAAATAAATTGGGTTGCGTGTATTTTATTTAAAAGGACAAATGAGAAAAAAAATTTTTTTCTTTTTTTTTTTTTTAAGATTTTATTTATTTATTCATGAGAGATAAACACACAGAGAGAGAGGCAGAGACATAGGCAGAGCGAGAATCAGGCTCTCTGCAGGGAGCCCGATGTGGGACTTGATCCTGGGACTCTAGGATCATGCCCTGGGCCAAAGGCAGGCACTAAACCACTGAGCCACCCAGGGATCCCCCAAGAAAAATGTTTTCTATATCATCTATTGTACACCTTTGCAAGTGAGTTAAACCTTTATTTTGATGGTTGAGAAAATGCCATTGTTTAAAGTAAAGTGGTCTTTATGAATCATTTGTCCAGATCTCCATATGTATATGAACAAAATGAAATATATGACAAACTTTGTTGTTATTTTAAAGTTCCTTTGTACATTATAGTTTTCCCAGATAATTTCTTTTTGCTTCTTAATATTTTAATCTAAGGAAGGTAATAAGGCGTTAGAACTATAAATGACAGTAATCAAGTTGCTTTATTAAAGAAATGCTTAATCTGTGTTTTCTTGTTTATCTTTGAAGACCACTGTGGTCAGAAAATGCTTTCTCTTGAACTCCTCAGTATTCTCTGTTTACCTATAAAAATGCTCGTATAAAATCATGCTCTTTATAATTACAGTTTTGAAATTGTTTTGTGCAGAACAACTGAATTAATCAGACCAGTTGTAGGATCAGTATTCTTTTCTCTGGCAGTCTTTTATTACACAAGGATGAGGTTTTCTTTAAGTGTCTTATCTCTGGACTTGAATAGTAGCTAGTGAATCCAGCCCTTGGTAGACTTATTTGGGAACATTTCAATTACATATAACCTCATATAATGAGCGGTCTAGATTATTAAATTTTCTACAGCTTATTGTTTTCCTGTAGTTTTTTTCATTTTCCATTTTGCTTGGAAAATTTCCAAGTCCTCGAAATACTATCAGACAATCTAAGAATTTCACTCAGGTTACTGTTTTCTTTGCTTTTCATTGACTTTGGGAAAAACTTTATTTGCTTTCGCTTCCCTCTTAGGAAATGTTTATAATAACTGAAATATAAAACTTGTTAATTACAAAATTACTCTATATTCAGGTAATGGGAATTTAAATCAGGAAATCTTCATTGACACTGTAGAATGTAAGTTTACATGAGGTGCTATTGTGTTATGAAGCAAATGGGGAAAATTCTAGATTTTCAGATTTCATAAGCCTGTATAACTTTTAATAGTTGAAAATAAAAATTAAGGGCCAAACTTTTTTTGCTGTTGTTTACAAGTTAGGTGGATTGCCTGTGGGAAGAAATGATAAAAAATATTCCATTATTTCTTGGTTGGAATCACTTTCATATTAAAATTTGAAATTTTGCTCTGAACATTTTTAGTTATTTTTTGTTTTCTTCCAGATTACATTTTGGTAATGCATTTTGAATATAGCCTGTCTTGGTCTTTACCATTTTTATCAGTTTTGATTTTTCCCTTTTGGATGAGAGCTTTGTCCAACCAACATGGAGAAGTACAGCTTTAGGGAGCAAACCTGGCTCCAGGGTTGTTTGCTGAGGTCCTTTTTATGTGGAAAGAATGGTTATTACCAGGGAAGGTTTTCCTTTTGTTTTACTTGCTATCCAGATGCTGCTCAGACTCTCGCTCTCGCACAGGATCACAGTATGGATATTCCAAGTCAAGACCAACTGAAGGTAAAATCACCACACGGTGACTTCTTTTGTTGTACAGAGTGGCCCCTTCTCTGTACCTATGGATCTTGGACTCCCAAGACCTTTCTCTAAATGTGGTAAGAATTTAATAAGAAAGGTTCTTGGGAGTTCACAGACCAGGGACAGAGTGAAACTTCTCTGTTCTGCCCATAACAGAGTTCCAGTCTCTGAATCTTTCTTTGGGATGTAGCACTTCTGATCTTCAGTTCCTCCAGTTGCATTTTCTTTGGGGTTTGTGTGTGCCTGTGTGTGTGATGGTATATGTGTATAGGCGTTTGAAGAAAACTGCTTTATTAGACTTTAACAGGCTTGTTGCAGTTAAGTTCATGTCAGACCATTCTGAAAGCTTTCCCAAACCAGACCTGGGAAAACTTTATGATCGTTTTGGTATGTGCTGAGGGTTTCACATGTTTTCTGAATTATGCCTAATTTTATAGTCTAGAGGTTTTATATTGATTGATAGCCTGTTTTTAACAGTAGATTTTGGCCTTTTGTGCAGAGATTATTTTCCCCCCAGGTTTGGGATTCTCTTAGCTCTGCTCACAGTGGGTCGAGGAGAGGTGTTGCCTTTATCTGATGACTGTTGTGAACTCCAGAGATCTCTTTCTCGTGCGTAACCCATTGTGCCGCACAGTAACTGGTGAGCCAGAATGGAACTGCTACATCCCCTGGTCTCAGTCATTTTTACTGCACTAATAGACGTCTTTCCCTTTTTTTCAGCAAAGTGCAGAAGAAAGCTCCAGTTCCAGGAAAAGAATGGAAGAAGGCAATATTCCTACACTGCCTACCTCACAACATAAATGCAGAAATTCTAGAGAAGGTAAATTTTGGATTAAAGTTATACAGACTTTTTCTTTCTTTTTTTTCCCCTTTTGTTGATGACATCTAGAAAGGGGATTTATTCACATTAAGTACTATCTATAATTGAGACCATTCTATAGATAGACCACTCAAAAAATAATAATGCACTTTCTTTGCATATGAAGTTGGAGGGAGCATATGTCATACTTACTCATTCTTTTCAGAATACTTTTTCTTAAGCTTAGTGACCATTGTTAACTTTGAAGAGATGGTAGTGCACTTTTAGCAACTTGTGTTTACTGAGATGGAGCAAGACTAAGATGGTTAACATACTAATAGAAGATTGCTGCAGATTTATCGGTTTGCCACCTGGTAAATCAGCTGCCTTGGCCTTTTCAATCTTGACATACTTGTATGTATTCAGTCTGGTTAGGATTTTTATTTGGTTTGTTTGCTTGAGGCAAAGGCTAATTTTTGTAGAGTTTTGAAGTTTGCAAAGATGATATATACTTGGTATGTCTGAGCCAAGAATGAGATCTTAGAAGCCAAGTAGTTCCTCTGCCCTTGGATGGTAGTCCTCAGATCTTTAATATCCACCCTCGATATGCTATGGTCAGGTTAAGTGAGTTAACCAGTATTTTAGTTTTTCCCAAGCTCTGCTTTAGAAAATACCTCCTAAACTTTTTCCTACAAAGGTATATAAAATCATATATTACTCAGAGGTTTTAGATGGCATGATAGTTTCTAGTTTAGGTACCTGGCTCACACTTGGAGCAATGACAGGTTAGACTTCTAACAACATCCCAGAAAGTGATGCTGCTGAAATTGTTTTATATGTTTAAAATTGGATCCATTTATCATCCAACTGAATTTTGAACTACCTAGTTGCCTTGGAGCTTATTCCAGTCTGTATGGTATTAAATGTGTAAATTTTTCCTTAAATGCAGGTTCTTGCTTATTTGCTACTCAGAAGGCTATTTGAAACATAAGAATCACCAATTCAAGAGACTATTACGTAGTTTGTGCTATACATTTTGAGAGTAAAGAGCTTAGTAGTTTGAGGAATGTGTGTAGGTAGAAAGGACAGGCTTTGTATACATGGAAGAGATGTTTCTGTTCCTTTTACAAGATGTTAGCTTGACTAGACGAGGATAACTTTAATATGGCATCATCTCAGGAATTTAGGTTTTGATAATTTTAGTAATGAGTAAGTAAAAAGCTGAACTGTCCCCTGAATTTAATGGGAGAGTTCACCATAATTTGTAAGTAGGTAAGGTCATCTTTTGTTCTGACAGGGACAGGGGCATTGCAAATGTTTTCAAGCACATGTACCTCAGCACATTAAAACACCTGTGGTTGCCATTGGCATGGCTGGTGCATTTGGAAGAGGTAGAGGAGAGGGAGAAAGTAGGAAAGGAGGGAAGCACAACAAAAAAAGATTGGATGATGGGATGTGTGGTAGCAACAAACTTATGTTTGTAACCACCTTGAATGTCATTTGGGTGTATAACACGAGATCTTTTAGTTGGAATATGTGGTGCCTTATGTTTCGAGTTTGCAATATTTCTAGATTTTTAGATAACTCCAAAAGAGCCCATTGATCCAGAAAGGACATAGGTATATATTTACTTAGACAACCTAGAGTTCAGTGTTCTGTAATGGTTGTTACCTATCCAAACATGAATTTGTGAGGAACATCCATAAATATGTGGTAGCAGTGAGACTGCCTTGACAACCTTGTGAAGGCCCATTTGGTCTGGACTGCCTTGCTTTTATCTCAGGTTGGGCATTCTGCCACCACCATTCGCAGTTCAGTGAATTAAGCTATTATCAGGCATCATGTACTAGAGCAAGTCTTTCTTTAGTTATTGCCGTGGTATGAATGCTTAAATGGCAGTAAATGACCATTTTGAAATCCTCTTAGAACAATGTCATTGTTTGAATGCCTTCAGAGTTTAGATTTTTTTGATAAGTAATGATACTAGAAGCAGATGATCATTTGCTCATGAACAAGGCCTAAATTCGAGAGGTGGTCTGGGCTCTGTGACTGAGATACTTGATTTTGGTTTCTTTCATACTGGCCATAGAAATTTCTCTTTGCCTGTCTTATAAAGAGATTGTAAGTGTTGCAAAGTGAGTTTTAATTCTTAGTGTTGTGTACGTAGTTACTTTCCTTTCCATTTGACTGCTGTAGATGAAGACTTCATAAAAAACTTAACCCAAGATGAGACATCTAAGCTGGACCTTGGGTTTGAGGAGTGGGATGTAGCTGGGCTGCCTTGGTGGTTTTTAGGAAACCTGAGGAGCAACTATACACCTAGAAGTAATGGCTCGACTGATTTACAGACAAATCAGGTAAATGTCACATTTGAAGAGGAACTTTTTGTTTTTTTTTTATGGAAGAGTAACATTCTTGGTTACTCTTGACCACACATTGCATTCTGTAAGAATTCTCATTCAGTGCTATGACTTTAAGTACCATCTGTGTGCATCTGATGCTCAAATCTGTATCTGCAGCCCTGACCTCTTCTCTAAATGCCCAACTTCTAAATTCAGCTGCCTACTTAACACCTCCAGTTAGATGATCTGACATTTAACATGTTCAAACCAGAGCTCTTGATTTTTTTTCTAAATTTTTTCCCATACATTCCTATTTAGCCTTTCCTTTTTCACAAATCTACCTTCTCCCCAGTTATTCCAGCCAAATCTAAGGGATATTATTGATTTCTTTCTCTGTCTCACATCACACTCAGGTTATCAGTTCTTTATCCAAAGCAAATCCAAAATCTAACCACTTTTATTACTTCTGGTGTTAACACCCTAACTTAAACCATAATCATTCTATTCCTTTATCTTATTTTATATTCTCTCTTACACTTCTCACTTTGAAAAACTGTTATTCTATTTTGTTTATGTATTTGCTCCCACTGAAATGTAAGTCCAGGGCACTCTATTCTGTTACCTTGTACCTAGGAAAGTATCTGACACGCAATAGGAGTTCAGTGAGTTTTTGCTCAGGAAATGAATGGATATAGAATAGTGGCAAAATAATAAGTTCTTTCCTAGGAATATTGGAGAAAAGCATGTCATGGAATATCCATAGGTGAATGCACAAAGAAGGTTATATTTAAAGTTGTTCAGGAATCCAGGAAAGAGGATAGAAGATACGAGTTACCATCAGTATTTCTCGTATTCCAGTAAACATTTTTAAAAAGATGTTAATTAAGTAATTATTTTAGAGAGAATGAGCGAACAGAGGGATGGAGAACCTCAGACTCCTTGCTGAGCACAGAGCCCAACATGGGGCTCGATCTCATAACCCTGAGATCATGACCTGAGGCCAAGTCAAGAGTTGGATGCTTAACTGGCTGAGCCACCCAGTCACCCCTCAATAAACATTACTGAACATAAAGGAAGTAATATGTCACAGTTAATGGAATGTTTTCTAGATTCTTCGAGTACTATCTTTGGAAAGGAATTTAGGGAACCGATTTTTTTTTTTTTTTTTTTTACACTTGAGCAATTACAGAGTCTTTAGCTTTTGAGCTCTTTGGTACAGTTTCTTAGATGTTATACCTTATTTACTGTTAAAATAGAAAATTCCTTGCCAGGCTCCCCTATATCCATTCATTAGTTTATACATAGTGGGTGCTAGGTAGGTACCTGTTGAATAAATAGATGTTTGCTGAAGAAAGGCTATAGGTATTCTTTGGAGATGTGTGAAGATACTGACTTTTGGGTCATTTCTGTTGGTTCAGTGTCATCGATAAGCCTCTGACTACAGAAACTCACATTTGTTTTTTTCTTTTAGGATATAGGTACTGCTATTGTTTCAGACACCACAGATGACTTGTGGTTTTTGAATGAATCTGTATCAGAGCAGTTTGGTGTGGGAATAAAAGTTGAAGCTGCAGACACTGAACAAACAAGTGAAGAAGTAGGGAAAGTAAGAGACAAAAAGGTATGTTTGGAAAAATTCCATGTTCTATTTATGGGCACATAGTATAATCTGTTCAGATCTGGTATGTGACTCTGTACCACAGAAGACTCACATAATACCACTCTTTTACTTTTTTTTTTTTTTAAAGATTTTATTTATTTATTCATGAAAGACACACACAGAGAGACACAGGTAGAGGGAGAAGCAGGCTCCATGCAAGGAGCCCGACGTGGGACTCGATCCCGGGTCTCCAGGATCACACCTTGGGCTGCAGGCAGCGCTAAACCGCTGTGCCACCGGGGCTGCCCACTCTTTTACTTTTTAATGTTTTCCTGTATCCAGCTTTAAGATTCACTTTGTCTTAAAAATACACTGTCTTAAAAATAGGATAGGACTGTATTGGTATAACTCCTTCTTCCTTAAAACCAAGAAGCTGCCCTTTCCTACTTGTCTAATCTCTCAGAAGTGGAGTTTTTTATTCTGGAGACTTTACTTTGCTAACAAGGGGCAGAGTTGTTGTTGTTGTTATTTTGTTTTAAAGATTTTGTTTATTTATTAGAGCATGCATAAATGGTGGGTGAGGAGGGTCAGAGGGAGAAGGAGAAGCAGACTTCCTGCTGAGCAGGGAGCCTGATGTGGGGCTTGATTCTAGGACTTTGGGATCACCACCTGAGCCAAAGGCAGATGCTTTAATAGACTGAGCCAGGTGCCCCTCCAAAGCAAAGTTCTAAATGGCTACAGCAGTCTGTAGGAAAAACACTTCCTGGTTCTTGGACATCTCAGTATCTTCCATAGTCATTCATATCTAAATGGAAATAGACAAGTGAGTTCTCCTTACATAATTTAGAGTTTAAGTAAGAGGAAAGAAGAGAGTTAGAACTCTGAATACACATGATGTGAGTACACCAAGGTAAAGAGTCATAGAAACATGTGCTCAAGTCTCAAAAGAAATTGGACAGCAGATCTAATGTTGACATTGACAAGATTCTTAGTAAACATCTATTGAGTAAATATAGCAAAACACAGACCTAAATAGGTTCATCTTTTTAGGAGATCTTCATAGTGATTTGGGTTCCTGAAGGATATCCTGGTATGTCTGTAGGCAGATTGATGCGTGGGTCCTGCTAGAATAATTGTATAAGTAGCATTAGAAGAGACTGCAAGTGGCTTGAAAGAAGACAAAGGTGACATTTGGAAACTTCCACTGAGAGAGATGGGACTGGGGGATCCCTGGGTGGCTCAGCTGTTTAGCACCTGCCTTTGGCCTAGGGCTTGGTCCTGGAGTCTTGGGATCGAGTCCCACATCAGGCTCCTGGCATGGAGCCTGCTTCTCTCTCTGCCTCTCTCTCTCTCTCTCTCTCTCTCCCTCTCTCTCTCTATCTCTCTATGTCTATCATGAATAAATAAATAAAATCAAGAGATGGGACTTAAAATACTTGAACTTGTATGAGAAACTTGTGTGCCATACTGAGGTTCCTAGTTGTGCCATAATTGTTTTTACTCCATTTACTAGATCACAAAACAGGGTCTTAATTTTTAGAATTTTAAATTCTAAATTTGAAAATTTAGAAGATACTTCCCATATTTCTTGACTTTGTTTCCTGGTCCATGGCACATTTTTATAGGAAAACCAGAGTATCACATAACTAGTTTTACTTTTTTGTTTTTATTTTTTTTTAGGTTTACTTTTTATTTTATTTTATTTTATTTTTTTATTTATTTATTTTATTTATTTATTTATGATAGTCACACACACAGAGAGAGAGAGAGAGAGAGAGAGAGAGAGAGAGAGAGGCAGAGACACAGGCAGGAGAGACACAGAGGGAGAAGCAGGCTCCATGCACCGGGAGCCCGACGTGGGATTCGATCCTGGGTCTCCAGGATCGCTTGAGCCAAAGGCAGGCGCTAAACCGCTGCGCCACCCAGGGATCCCCTTTAGGTTTACTTTTGAATACGAAATTCACTTTTCATAAAATACTTTGTTTTCATTCTTCACATCTCAGGTCCTTATTTTATGTAGTGTCTTTGACTTCATTTTTTTCATGCAGTCCTTATTCTTGTGTCTGCCTGCCTAGATTCCCAAAATAAAAAATTTCCACATTTAACGATTTGTAGCTTTCCTATTCTGATACTGTTTATTTTCATTCAGATCATACATTTGGGTACCCTCTTGTATTTGGTGACCCTTTTGCACACTTTTCAATCATTTCTTCTACTGAGCTGCCAGCCGGGCATGCACAGTCATTTATGCCATTTTCTTTTTAAGTGCTAGTGATAGAGGCAGAATGTGAGCTTTAAATTGAAGCTCTTCTGTCTCTTTTGCTCTCAGGTTATAGCCTCATCTTAACTAGGTGAACCTTACTAATGAAATGTCTTTGCCTTGCAGGTGATTGAAGTGGGAAAAAATGACGACTTTGAGGACTCTAAGTCCATAAGTGACGATACTGATGTAGAAGTTACCTCTGAGGTATGAGGAGCTGTTTTGCACCACACATGTCTTCACTGTGACATGTGCATTTGTGTTGCAGAAGGCCATTTCCCCCATTTCTATCTCCCTTTCCTTGATGTTAAGACATGTTGGCTTCTCTATATCTTGTTAGAGGGATTGGAATTTGGAGAAGAGGAGAATAAGTTGATCTAATCCTCTCCCCAACTTGAAAGGGTTGACTTAAATGCCTGTATGCCCTTCTCCGTGCTAACAAAATTCTTTGGATGTGATGCAGTGGATACACAGAGTTATTTAAAATAGTCCTGTACTACTTTGCCCACTAAACAACTCTCCATAGGTAGACCTATAAGCTATCTAAAATTCTTTGTCAAGGATAAAGATCATATTTTCACTGCTTTCTTAAAAACAAATTAATGGAAAATGACTTAATTTCTACAGAAGTTTACACTAATGGAGGGCTAGTAAATGAAGATGTAACATTAAGCTATTAGGTATTAGGTGTGGATTTGTCACCAAATGTGACAACTGATGTTTAGACTCAGACCTTACCTTGCTTTTCTTTTTTCATTCTAGTTCTCCACTTTCAATGCTTCCCTCAGCTAACTTGCTGGAAAAGAGGGTGGTGGGGAAGGAGAAGGGAGGGGATTTTACAGTTTGCTGCTAGAAAAGTTGTAGGTTGTCTCTGGTGTTGATCCTCCCCCAACTCCCAGCCTGCCACTGTTGACCATTATGATAATGCATTGCAAATTAATCTGTGCATAGCTAAGTAATAAGGTGGAATATATTGGTCCATTAAGTGTTCTTGACCATAATACAAATAGCAGAGATAAGTGTTTCCATCCTAATCAGACTTCTATGTCTACTTGGGCCCAGAAAACCTATTTAAGCAAATAGACTGTATTTCATCAAATCAAAGATGCCATTGAATTTAATAAGCCCTATTATTTTATGTACTACTAAAGAAGAAAAAGTGATGCCAATTAGACTGTGACACACCATTAATTATGAGTTCTAAGTCTTTATGAAGTCCTTTTGAGTATCCGTATAGCATTTCATTTTTTTCTTTAAGATTTTGTTTATTTGTTCATGAGAGACACAGAGAGGTAGAGACATAGGCAGAGGGTGAAGCAGGCTCTTTGTGGGGAGCCTGATGTGGGACTCGATCCCAGGACCCCGGGATCATGACCTGAGCAGATGCAGATACTCAACCTCTGAGCCACCCAGGCATCCCTCTAGCATTTCACATGAGATCCGAGGATCTTTTTTTTTTTTTTTTGGATCTAAGGATCTTAAACTGGTAAGAATGTTTTGAGGGTCTCTGAGGAGGACCATACGGTTTATTTATTTATTTTATTATAGTTTTTTAAGATTTTCTTTATTTATTCATGAGACACAGGCAGAGACACAGGCAGAGGAAGAAGCAGGCTCGCTGTGGGGAGCCTGATGCAGGACTTGATCCCAGGACCACGGGATCATGACCTGAGCAGATGCAGATACTCAACCACTGAGCCACCCAGCTGCCCCTAGGACCATCCAGTTTAATAGATTATTGTGTCCCCTGTCTCTTGGCCTAGGCAGTTGAGTTATGCCTTCTAAACTTGAAGTGTGCAGCCTTCATTCCGAAAATTACCAAGTCTGCCTGTGTCAAATCATTGGTCCTGTCAAAAAAACAGGCATTTATCCACATTAAATACTCTTGTTCTAGGTAGCTACCTTTGCATTAAGCAAGGCATTTAAAATTTGTTGAGCTCTAGTATCTCCTAATTTGAATATGGAGAAGTAGGCAAGAAGTTACTGGCATCCAAGGATGGAACATTCATTTTTCAGAGGGTAGGGCTTAGGCATAGAGTTTGTAACCTCTGATCCTGAGAGCAGTGTGAGAACTTGAGTAATGTAATTTTCAAACCTCATTTTACTTTTAGGTCCCTTTTTGCCAAATTTTATAACATTTCTTAATGGGAAGGAATGAGAATGTTAGCTTTTCTTCATTCTTTAGTGTCTTGCTCAATAAAAGAGTAAGTTGTACACTGAGAAATGAACTAAAAAGAAGGCAGCAGGGAAAAGCAAGCAATGTAAATTCCATCCAGACTAGCTAGATCTCCAGAATAATGAGTTTAACTTTCTTTTTTTTTTTTTTTTATTTTTTATTTTTTATTTATTTATGATAGTCACACACACACAGAGAGAGAGAGAGGGGCAGAGACACAGGCAGAGGGAGAAACAGGCTCCATGCACCGGGAGCCCGACGTGGGATTCGATCCCCGGTCTCCAGGATCGCGCCCTGGGCCAAAGGCAGGCGCCAAACCGCTGCGCCACCCAGGGATCCCTGAGTTTAACTTTCTTAAAGATAGCTGTTTCATATTTTGACTTGAAATGGCTATTGTGTCACTGTCCTTGTAAAACTTCTCAAGACTTTCTTACATGTGGCTGTGGGATTTGTTCACATGCAAGGCTAGACCACTGATGTGGAATGTCTGGATTCTGACTAGCTTGGTGAGATGTTGAGATTTGGTCTACTCTCCCTTTTTCTCAGTTTCATGTTCACCACTGAATATTAATTGGCTGCACTTGTTGTTTTAGGATGAGTGGCAGTGTACTGAGTGCAAGAAATTTAACTCTCCAAGCAAGAGGTACTGTTTTCGTTGCTGGGCATTGAGGAAGGATTGGTATTCAGATTGCTCTAAGTTAACCCATTCTCTCTCCACGTCTGATATCACTGCCATACCTGAGAAGAAGGAAAATGAAGGCATTGATGTCCCCGATTGCCGAAGAACCATATCAGCTCCAGTTGTTAGGCCTAAAGATGTATGTAAAAAGGAAGAAAAAAGCCCCAAGCTTTTTGATCCCTGCAACTCAGTGGAATTCTTGGATTTGGCCCACAGTTCTGAAAGCCAAGAAACCATATCAAGCATGGGAGAACCATCAGATAATCTTTTTGAACAGAGAACAGATACAGAAAACATGGAGGATTGCCAGAATCTCTTGAAGCCGTGTAGTCTGTGTGAGAAAAGACCACGAGACGGGAACATTATTCATGGGAGGACAGGCCATCTTGTCACTTGTTTTCACTGTGCCAGAAGATTGAAGAAGGCTGGGGCTTCATGCCCTATATGCAAGAAAGAGATTCAGTTGGTGATTAAGGTTTTTATAGCGTAGCTGACTCAGTGAATTGTAGAGAAATACTAACAGAGCTAGGGCATGTATCAAAATGTCAGTATTCAGCATCTCTACTCAGCATAACCCACTGCATCTGTTTATTTATTTATGTAAACATCTGTGTTTCACGACATTTTTGCTTCTATATGTAGAGGAATTTTGAGAATGAGTTCTTTAGAACTAGAGTGTCAATTTGGGGGACTCCCGTTAACATGAAAAAATTCGTTCATTACTTTTACTCTCTTTAAAGATGAGGATCTGGGAGAAAGCAACTGCCAGTACAAACAAAAGTAATTTGGCCCTAATTCATTCACTTACAAAGTTACTTGAAGATTTATTATTTCTTCAGTTAATTTTATTCCCTGTTCTTTTTTTTTTTTCGGTTATGGAATGTTCTTAGGCATCAATATAGGGTGGCTGTTAGAAAAATATTAGAGCTAACAATGAAAAAAACATAAGTAATTTGATTAGTGAAGTTATGTAGTGCTGTAGATCACTTTATAGTTGGAGTCAGGCTGCACAATTTGGATAAGCCAAAAGAAAAGTCTTGAAAACGAGATTTCTTCCATGTGTGCCTAGAACACTTGTTATTGAACTTTTTTTTTTTTTTTTAAGATTTATTTATTCATGAGAGACACACAGAGAGAGGCAGAAACACAGGCAGAGGGAGAAGCAGGCTCTTTGCAGGGAGCCCGATGTGGGACTCAATCTCAGAATCACGCCCTGAGTTGAAGACAGATGCTCAACCTCTGAGCCACCAAGGCGTCCCAAGTATTGAGCATTTTTGCTAACAAATCTCTGAAAGAATTTTGAAAAAAAAAAATATAATCTTTTGCACATTTTACACCTTGGGGTATGATTAGCAAACAATATTCTTTTCTGGTGAGTTGTAGACATCTGAGCAACCAATCTAAAACAAGCCCTGGACCGTTTCTGTCCCCTTAGAGTGTTCACCTGTGCCCCTTTCTAAGCAGTTCCTCCTCCCATTTCCTGGCTGTCATTCTAGGTTAGTTTTCCTTTTGCACGTGTTTAATGTGACCTCTAAATTTTTAAAATTAAGTACTTACAAAGGATACTCTATCCAATATATTGTATATGTGCCTTAAAAATATTTTTCTCAAAGCCTTGGAGCTAGCTGTAGGTTTAGCTGATGGAATTTATAGGAAAAGTCCTATCATTTAAAGTAGCAAAGCCTGTTCTCATTTTAAAATTCACCAGCCAGATCAGATTTCATTTTCATGCAGAAGATGTTTGACTTTATTTTTAATTCAAATAAATGCATTAACACATTTCTGGCACAACCTTCTCAATTATAGTCCTAAGATCGATGTGGTACAGAGTTTTAAACTAAGCTCTCTGCTTTACTCTGTCCTCATTGTCCCTTGAGAATTTTCTGGTTTTGTTGTTGTTGTTCTTTTGTTTGATTGTCTCCAGAGTGTTTTTTACATTCTGAGGCAATGCCCCATAGTAAGATTCTAGATGGGCGAGAGTCAGCCTTTCTTTTGGAAATTCAGAACATGGCAGTTGTGAAAATGAAAATAAAGAAAAATGTTAGATCTGAAGAATCCTTATCTCAGCACGTAGTCTTAGAGCAATACATATGGAAATTGAAGATCTTTAAGCTGATGTGCTTATCCATATCCTTGTCTGCTGTCCCCATGGAAAAAAAACCTTTAAAAAAAAGAAAGATTTTATTTATTTGAGAGAGAGCAAGTACATGTGAGAGAGCGCAAGTGGCGGAGAGGGAGAGGCAGGCTGCCCATTGATCAGGGAGCCCAATGTGGGGCTCGATCCTAGGACCCTGGGATCACAAACTGAACCAAAGGCAGCTGCTTAACTGAGCCACCCAAGTGCCCCTCCCCATGGAAGAAATCTTGATATATACCCATGGGTATGCATATGAGATTTTGAAGACCATGGCCCTAGAATTAACAAATTTATGGATTGAAAAATCACCTGGATTGCTTGTTAAGAAAAGCACAAGTTAAAAAAACAAAACAAAAAAACAAACTCAAACAATGCCTCCCCGTCTCTCCGTCTCTCCCTGCCCCCTACCAGGGGTATCCTTCCATTAGAACATGTATTCCTGGTAACTGATCAAGTGGTCCACAGACCACACTTTGGGAAGCCCTACCCTAGGAGGAAGGGTTTTCCCAGTTACAAGAAGTACAATGAACAGGATCACTTTTAGCATCATACCTAATTTCTTGACAGGGAGTTTTGTTAAAAGTTCTAGAAGTTTAAAACTAGAATGCACTCTTCTACTCAACCCCTGTTACTTTGCACTTGAGGCTAAAAGATTAAATGATAGCCAAGAGTCACAGCTAGTGATGCAACTGTTACTAGAACCCGAGTCACTTGTAAATCCTGAAACCATACTCACTTCCTTCTCATTATTTGCTAAATATTTAAAAGGTGTTTGTTGAATTTGGATTCAAGATGCTCATCGTCTTAAAATCTGACAAAATGTGACTTCCAGCCAAAGTAGGACTTTAGGAAGAATAATGACTTTTAACACCTTTTCCCCAAAGAGAAAAGGCCCACTAAATGTCATCTTTTCTTATATAATCAGATAAGGGAGAGGACAGATGAAGGTGCAGAGGAACCTGAACCATTTTGTACCAGTATTCTTCCTTCTTAGGGAAGGAAACCCAGCTCTTGCTCTCTTTAGGTATCAGGGACAGGAGTTTTCCCCCCTCAAAGTAGAGCAAGTCGTCGGACTTCAGTGCTCCATTCGACCTTGCTGAATGCTCTGCCACTGCAGCAAGCTAAAGGTCTCTCTTCCCTATTTTGTCCTTAGTGCTTCTCTCTTCATAATAGTTTGATAGCCCTAAATTTTGTCTGATTTTTGCCAGTTAGGGGCTTTTGCAGGTGATGACTTAAAGGACGGAAAGGAAGAGCTGGGGATCTGCATTTGTACCCTCTGATTCCTCTTATGTAAAGCTGCAGTTTTTTAGAGAACTTAAGGAAAAATTTAAAAATTGTATTTATTTGTAGATATTTGATGCTAATTTTCATACATCCTTGCCTAGCACAGGATCTTCTTTATGCTACTCAGCTTTCCTTTACCCCTTGCTCACTTGGGATTTTATACAGTTCCTGTTACCACTAAATACTTTGCTTAGAAGATCCCAAGCTGCATGTTTGAGCTGTGAATATTAGAATAAACCTACATGTGGGTTTACTGTCCCTCTAGCAGGAACCTCGTGAGTGACTGCAATTTATAGGGCAAGAGCTGATATTCCTCAATTGCTTATCTGAAGTCTAGGATGCTGCTTCTCCGCTTCACCCTGAATCTATATTTAATGTCTTGTGGGAGCATAGGACAGCAAGGAGGAGTCCTCATTTCTAGGGGTAGAATGGGCCAAGGATCCTACAAAGAGCCAAATAGTATTGTCAGAGCAGTTCTTTACTTGCAAGAGATTTTAAACCATCTTGATTTCATTTTTGATTTTGTTTTTTTTTTTTTTTCAATGCCACTGCGGTACAGTTTTATTTTACTCACTGCCATGAAAGCGAAACATGGTTTGTATGTGAAGTCTTTGTAGTTTTACTTCTTTGAGATAAACTCTTAATTTCTACACACTACCATTTATCTTTTAGTTGTGGTTAGAATAAGCTGCCAGTTTATCCCTCTTTTCCAGCGGCCCATCTGACTTGTCTCCTCCCTCTAACTCTCAGGTGCTTGAGTTGAAATCTTGATTGTGAGGAAAGGATCTGCTAAACTAGGTGCAGTGGAGTTGATTGTTTCTGCTGCATCACATCATAGACTTGTGATCTTGTGATTAATGAAATCATCCTGCATTAGCGCCTGCATTAGCATTTCTTTCCTTTTTTTTTTTTTTTTTTTTGTTAAGTAATCTCTATGCCCAGCGTGGAGCTTGAGATCAAGAGACTCATACTCTACTGACTGAGCCAGCCAGGTGCTGTAGCAACAAATTTCTTATTTTAATTACCATTTAATATGTATGACCATGTTATCCTGGACAGAAAGCTCAGAGCAAAAATGACAAATCTTTAGAAAAACCATGAATTTCTAGGTTATACCAAAAATGTCTCCTGTCTCATTGAGTTAATGAATGAGTTACTGTACTTGCACCATACGTATAATATTTGCTATGCTTTTGTGTTAAATACTTAAATCAGACTTTATGAAAATCTTAAGACGAAGCCTTCAGCTGCATATTGCCATCTCCCCACAGTCCACCTATGAAATAGCAAAGATTCACAATCCTAGGCTTGAACCAATGGGTCTCTGTCTGCCGAGCCAGCCTACAAACTGCCATGAACTTTTCTAATATAAGATGAAATCACTGCCAAGCATTTGAAATATGTAGTTGTGTTTTAATAATAATTTATGTATACTTAGGTGTATATAATGCTTTGTGGAACATTGTGTTGTTTGTAAGAATTTATTTTTAAAGGTCAGGATCATTTGTAACATTTTTTTGTAAATGTTAATTCAGTGCATTGTTGGCTCCTTTGAACAGTCATTGATGAGAAATCGATGAATGTTAGATCTTGGATTCTACGAAACTATCATCGTAGCGTTATCTCTTGGTTCTCTTTAGAAAGGAGGAAACTTCTTAACCAGATATTTGTTTTTTTTTTTCCCACAGAGTCATGTGAACTTCTGAAAGTACATGCCTTTAGATACTGTGAAGCCATTGTTTTCCTTTTAGCCAAGTATCCATTTAAATTGTTGATTGGCATCCTAAAGAAAAACTTATTTTGATGGTTCTCTTCATTCATGGGTATATATTATGCACATATAGTATCAAGACTGCTAATGCCTTTGCTGAAAGTGGCTATGGAATAGGAACTAGCTATGTTTTGAGCTTTCACTTCAAAGATAAAGAACCTATAAGCTCTTCCCTGTGCCAAAAGCAAGAAGTAAAATGTTTACAAATGTGTGGAATTTTGCACTGCCATAGGGTATGTTGAGGTTACTTTGCTGGAAACTCCCAGATGGTGATTAGTAGAGTTGCCGTTTAGCATATGAGGAGAGACACTGAGCATCTAAAGCTAAACTGAAAGTGTCTGAGATAGTGGTTCAGGTGATTCCCTGATCTTATTTGAGGACACTTTTTCCAGATTGCTCTGATCAGTGGACAGTGCTTTCCTTGGTCACCATTGCTACAGTTTTCCTTTAAAGGAGCCACCAGATCTCTTCTCTCCTATGGGAGCGGGTCCCCCTAGCATTCTGAGATCTTTCGATAGAAGGAATGTGCAATCCCAAGTAACGTCATTATTGGCAAATGTGGCATTGTTAAAGAAAATAGAATATTAAGAACCCGTTGGGTTTACTGTGCCTGTATCAGAGCTTTTCAAATGACTGAAAATGTTGATTTGTGTGTCTGCAGACATAGGTAGCTGATACTTCTTGGTAGCTTATCTGAAGTCCTCCATGCTGCTTCTCCTGCAGATTGTTTTTCTTCACCCTGGATCCATATTCAGTGTCATCTGGGAGCATAGGGCAACAAGGCATAGTCCTCATTTCTTGGGGTAGAATGGGTCAGGGATCTTAAAAAGGGTTAAATAGTGCTGTCAGAGCAATTCCTTTCTCAGAGTAGTTGCTATAATTTGGCAAATGCTTTCTTGAAAATTGACATCCCTGTGACACTGACAATTTATTAGAGCACCTAATGTCTTATCCCAAGGCATTTTTTTTTTTTTAACAGTAACTAATGTCATAGATTTCTCCTTTTTTCCTTCTTCCTTTTTTGTTGCTCTTTTTTTCTCAGAGTTCAAAGTGATCTACTTCTGGATATTACTTTTATATCAGAGGCCTTCTGTATCATCCCCTGGGTTGCTGCAACCATAGTATCTTTGGATAAGATTCCTCTGTTCCAGTCAGTTCTGGGGAATTTTTTTCTTTAGCGGAGGTAGGTGGTGGATAAGGAAGAGAAGCTGTGACATCAGAGCTACTATCTAATAAAAAACAGCTTGTAGTTGAGGCTTCCTTTGTGTCCATGATGAGAAACGGGAATGAGCACCCCTATTGTCTCAGCACTAAGAAACTGAGGGCAGCCTTCCCTCTTCCTACAGGAGGCTCTTCATCCCCTCCCCCCCATAATTTGCCTTGTTTTTCACTTCCTTATAAAATGTCTCCTCTCATATTTTTCTTTCCTCCTTTGAAAAATAATAGAAAATGTTTTAAAAGGGGAATGAAATGTTTCTGGGCTCCTTGGCACTTTGGCAAGGTAGAAATTCTAAGCAGCCTCTGCCTAGGACTCTGTCCATAGTCTGTAGCGAGGCACTGTTAAGTCCCTTGGATAGAGATAAAGGGGTAAGGCCCTTCCACCGTCTGTCCCACTCTTGACATTTTTCTTACCTTTTAACAGAACAGGCATAACTACGCTTTCTACCTCATAGTTTGTTATGGAAACTAAGGATGCTGGAGCAGCTTAACCTATATACACTGCCTTGAATGACATGTTAAAAAAGTGGCTCTACCAAGCTCTGGGGTATATATTCAGAATACCTCATGTCCTGGAAACTGAGCACAAGCTCCCCTCAAGTGCCTGCCTAGCAGAGCCTATGTTGCTTCCTTGTACCTGCGCCTCTGACTCACACAGCCTTTCCTTGCTCTGAAGCTCTTGACTAGAAAAGAATTCTGTTTCTAGGTTCTGAGAGAAGTGTGTGTAAATTTGGATAGTAGAAGTGCTCTGTTGTGGTCTGGATGGACAAAAATTTTCTGCATGCACTTGAGTAGGTTGCCTAAAATGCACTGTCACTATACAGAAAACATGCAGTTTCCCAAATAACATATCTGATCAGGTAAGCATAATCAACAGGAGTGCAGCAAATATGGTTTCATAAAGTGGGCAGGAAAAAAGCAATGTAAATAACTTTTTGAATAGTCCCCAACTCACTAAGGAAAGGAGACATTTTCACATGTTTTTGCCTAGTTTTAAGCACCAATAAGTTAATGACTCTGTATCTTTCTGGTTTTTGCACTATGAAATGCCCTTAATACCAGTTGGTTCTGTTTGCTTTTTTTGTGTATTAAATATTTTTCAATTTGCCATTTTGTGGTGTCATCATTGGGGAAATCTGTATATAGCACAATCTCACTTTGTTTTTATATGTAATCTTTAGTCTGATTTGGGGACAAAGAATAGATTTTGCAGTAGAAGTTACTGTACTTAAAATTGATGGGGACTTTTGGTACTCCAATTACCTATGAGAGTATTGTGTTTCATTTTTAGCTTCCCATTCCTGAAGGGAACCTCAAGATTTTGCAGAGTATTTTTTTAACCTTGAGCTAGTTAGGCCTAGTGGAATTTCCCCAAATAGAGCCCTTGAGAATTAGACTGTATCAAACCTGCATGCCTAAAAACAAAACAAAACAAAAAAAAAACCCTGCATGCATAGAGTGATTTAAGGCAAGCCTTCTCTCTAGGCACAAGTCTGTACCTAACTCTTCTGAGCCCACAGGTATATCATCTTGTCTACCTTCTTTGCTGCTGGAGAGAAAATTCAAATGGTGAGATGACAGATTTGCCTCTGTTGACGGAGGTGCTAGGTGCGGGGGTTCTATTTTGTGTTTTGAATTGGGGTTAGTTTAAGAGTTACTGAGGGTTTGTCACAAAGTATATATTCATCACTTATCTGCCTAACATCTGCTGAGGTCTCTAGCAGTGGTTTTTGTTGTTGTTGTTGTTTTCTTTTTTAGATTTTATGTATGTATTCATGAGAGACACAGAGAGGCAGAGACATAGGCAGAGGGAGAAGCAGGCTCCATGCAGGGAGCCTGATGTGGGACTCATCCCAGGACTCCAGGATCACTCCCTGGGCCAAAGACAGGTGCTAAACTGCTGAGCCACCCAGGGATCCCCATCTAGCAGTGGTTCTTAAATTGGGGGGTGGATTATATAGCCCTCTTTGAAAAGCTAATGAAACTTACTACTCTCTTATTTAAAAAAGCAGAACATTTTACATTCACTTTGAGCAGTTTCATTGATGCCAATGGTCTGTGGCCCTCAGGTTCTGTTCTGTGGAGGATATTGAAGAAAACCTGCCCACAAAGAGCTTGCTAGCCCACATTTTTCAAAAGCTCATGTCCTTACAGCTAAGACCGTTAAGGTGAGTGAAACATCTGGTCATTTGTCCTGAGCTCATGGCCACTGCAGAGCAGGTGCAGATTGGTGCACACTGCACAACTTTTAGGGGCATACTTCATAGGCCATTTTATCTAGAGATATGTAGTATACACCTGTATGAGGAGCACCTGGGTGGGTGGGTGGGTGGGGGGTGACACTGGAAGTAACCAGGGATAGTATTTTAAAAATGAAAGAAGCAAGAGGAGCATTAGAGCCAGGATTAAGGATTAAGCCAGTTTCTGTGTCCATGCAACCCTTTCCATGTTGTGTGAATTCTTTAAGGTACTTTGTAATGATTTCCAACTGCATAACATTTTGTTTTCTGGATTTTGTGTCTTACTCATCTTTTTTTTTTTTTAAGATTTTATTATTTATTTATTCATAGAGATGCAGAGAGAGAGAGAGAGAGAGGGGCAGAGACACAGAGACACAGGCAGAGGTAGAAGCAGGCTCCATGCAGAGAGCCCGACGTGGGACTCCATCCAGGGGCTCCAGATCACGCCCTAGGCTGCAGGCGGCGCTAAACCACTGCGCCACCGGGGCTGCCCGTATCTTACTCATCTTGAGTCCTGGTGCTGCAGGTTAACCGTTGTTGAATGTAGTCTTGAGGCCAGAGGAAGACAGGCTGAAACTAGTAATTGATTTAAATTGTCATTAGCAGATAAATGCCAACTTGGTGTTTGTCTTCTGGAATTCGCACAAATCCATCCTCCAATGGTATTTCTAAAATTAGTGTTACTAGAAAGATTTCAGGTCATTACAGGTTTGGGGACGCAGGGATAATCTCATGTACCTCCTCAACCCTAAACTCATTTGTTTGCTTTCCTCTTCAGAATAAAGTATGGGAGGGAGTTAAATTCAGTATCGATTATTACTTACTTGGTATTAATATGAGCCAGATCATGCTTGGTACTGGGAGCAGCACAGTGAACTAGGAAGCTCCCTAAAGTTGCCTACAGCCTAGTGATGGACTTAGGGACATCTGGCAGTTTCCACGTGGGCCTGGAACACGGCAGTGAAAGAAGTGCCTTGTGAGAGCAGGGCTTGTTTTTGGATGTTCAGTTCCGTATGACTGGAGCAAGGTGTGTGGTTGGAGGAGTGACAAGAAAAGGCACTGGAGTGTTGGAGGGGCTGGATGATAACCGTGTGCCAAGCCAGGAAGTTGGAGTCTTATCCTGAAGGTAATGGAGAGCCATTAAAGGATTTTAAGCAGGTGTGTGACATGATCTCATTTACATTATTGGAAGATTCTGGCTTCATTGTTGAGAATGGACTGGAGTGCTGGCCAGACTAGAAGCAAGGATAATAGGTTGTGGCAGCAATTTGGCTGGAAACGATGATATTCCTGATAAAATGCAGTGGGCCTGGAAAGAAGAATAGTAGATAACATTTACTAAACACATAGTAGGTGCTGACTTGGCATTTCTTACCCCATGGGTGTATTTAAGGTTTAGAGGAACTAAATGACCTGTTCAAGGGAATTAAGAGTTACAGAATCAGTCACTGCTTAAAACCATTGTGTCTCAGACAAAAGTCCAAAAGAAGTGCATGGATTTCAGGGAAACCCAGGTGGAAGGGACACACTTCCGGAATGAATGCCTAGAGGTGTGAGGGAAGGAGAGGAGTCATTAATGGCTTGGGCAGTTGGTAGATGGCTGTGCCATTCACTGAGGGTAAAAAAAAAAAAAAAAAGGGCAGCCTGGGTAGCTCACCAGCTTAGCTCCGCCTTTGTCAGGCTCCCGGTGCATGGAGCCTGCTTCTCCCTCTGCCTGTGTCTCTGCCTCTCTCTCTCTCTCCCTCTCTCTCTCTGTGTCTGTCATGAATAAATAAATAAAATCTTAAAAAAAAAGGGGGGGGTAGGTTTGTGGTGATGGTGGTGAGGTACGGAAAAAATAATGAGTTTTGTTTTAGATGTGTTGATCTTGTGCATATGAGAAGATCCAAATGGAAATAGACTTGAGCTGTAAATATTCTTAGGTCCTAGGGACACTGTGGTGAAGATGACGAATGTGGCTTCACTCTTGTGGGTTAGGAAAACTAGCTAACACACATAGTATAGGGTGCCTGGGTGGCTCAGTGGTTGAGCGTCTACCTTTGGCTCAGGTCGTGATCCCCGGGTCCTGGGATGGATCCCACATAGGGCTGGCTTCCTGCTACAGGGAGCCTGCTTCCCTCTCTGCCTCTCTCTGTGTCTCTCATGAATAAATAAATAAAAATCTTGACAAAAAAGGTATGGCTTTAAACACAGTGTGGCTTGTGTAGGAGCACACATGCTGCTATGGAAAATAGAGAAGAGGGGCCCCATCTAGTCAAGGGTTGAGGAACGGCCTCCTTGAAGAGATGACGAGCTGAGAGCTCAAGGAAGGATGGGAGTTGGGAGGGGGGGAACATTGAGATAAGAGCAGATGTACAAGGGCCTTTAGGTGAGGAGCTCATGGTGTCTGGAAGACCAGAAAGTCCAGTTAGTTCAGTGAAAGCAGGGACGGTGGGGCAGCCCCGGTGGCTCAGCGGTTTAGCCCCTGCCTTCAGCCCAGGGTGTGATCCTGGAGACCCGGGATCGAGTCCCACGTCAGGGTCCCTGCATGGAGCCTGCTTCTCCCTCTGCCTGTGTCTCTGCCTCTCTGTGTGTGTGTCTCTCATGAATAAATAAATAAAATCTATTTTTAAAAAAAAAAGGAAGGAGAGAGTGGAATCTGATGGAGGAGGCAGTTGGGGGAAGTTTGAAGAGAATGGAGAATGTGTGAAGTGGAACTCTGGGAAATGGGAGTGAAAAGACCAGGGAAACCTGTGAGGCCATTGCCTGACATCCTGTCTCTGGCCTGAGGCTCCTCAGCTTCAGCACTATTGATTTTGGGGGGCTGGGAAATTTTCTTTGTGTGTGGGTGGGGGTGGGGGGCGGGTGTTCTGTGCACTGTGGCATCCCTGGCCTCTGCTCACGATGATAGGTCACTTAAGTTGAGAATCCTCTGTGGCTGAGAACCAATAGGCCCAGCCACTGAGGGCTTCAGGAGAAAAATCATACAAGGTGCAGATGGCTGTTACTGTGCATTCATGCCCTCAGCCTGGGCTCTCAATTCTTCCTGGTTCTCCTGTCGTTTCCCTAATAGTTGAAGTGATGGTTCTCACCTGGAGGATAGGAAGAAGAAAGTGAAGACAGGTTATTTGACTTCTCTAAGCCTCAGATCATGGGGCAATAGATGTCAAGTCAGCACCTATGGAGTGTTCAATGAAGGTTGACTATCATCATCATTTCTGGGGCGGGGCTGATAGGAAATGGAAAGCCTGAATGAAATTGAAGGGGCGCTATGGTAGGAGTGGACTGAGCAGGGAGGACAGGCTGCGGCGTTCAGAGACGGACTGGTGTTCTAACAAAGACTTCAAAGATTGTGGTAGATTGGGTTATCAAAACATCTTCTCTCTACCACACTTTGGAGAGGATTATGCTCTCTGCCCCAATGGCACCAGGCTTGTCAATCAAATGTGAGTGGGAATGAAGTATACTACTACTTTTCTTTTGTCTTCTCTTGTGATCTCTTTTTTTTTTTTTTTTTTTTTTTTTTTTTGAGAGGGAGGCAGAGGGAGAGGGAGTGAAAAGCTTAAGCAGGCTTCATGCCCAGCGTGGATCCCAAAGCAGGGCTCAGTCTCACAACTCTGAGATCATAACCTGAACTGAAATAAGAGTCAGATGCTTAACCTAACCGACTGAGCCCTCTGGGCGCCCCAAGTATACGGCTTCTGAGCAGAGGTTTAGGGACCATTGTGGGAGTCAGTTGATAGTCCTTTCCCTTAGCATGGAGCTACTGTACCCCAGAATGGGGGCTGCTTCTTCAGTCTGGCTCCAAGGATGACGAGAACAGGAAGCAGAGCTGTGGCTGTCCTGCAGTGGGCAGCGAAACAAACATTTTATAGGAAGCCACTGAGAT